TGACCCTCTCCCTGCAGAGTGAGTACACAGGTGGGTGGGGGAGGAATAGAGGAGACACACCTGCCCCACCCTCACTGACAACCCAGCAGCCCCCTGAGCTACAAAGGGAGGCTCAGCTGTGAGGGCTGGAACTTCCCTGTGACCCAGAGCATCACTGTCCTCTTCCTGCCTGGCAAGGGCATAATGTGGGGCGAGGGGCGGAGGTGGACCTTGGAGGGGAGGGGCTGGAGCTGGACAGGGGTGTTTGGGGAGACAAGGTCCTTGCTCTGCAGGGCTGGGACTAGGGTGAGACACACCAAGAACTCACCTTGGGCACAAAATTTTAGAAGACAGAACGATGAAATAGTCAGCAATCAAGGGAAATAATATTGTGATGCAGTGATCTTTTAAAAACAATAAAATTGAACATAAAAAAGTCAATGATGAACAATATCTCAAAATCTTAAATAAAGAAAGGCTGCAGCAGCACTTCCATGTGTCACTGGTCCCACCAGCAGCCTCCCCCCTCCTCCCTCCCATCCAGGTTCTTTGCTTCTGAGATGGGGGAGGGGAGTAGGAGCCCAGGGCCCTACAGGCTGGGAGGAGGAGAGACCGAGCACTTGCAGATGAGTCACCAGAGTTGATTTCTTGTATCTGCAGGCAAAGTGCGGCCTGTCTCAGGAGTGACGCTGGGGGCTGTCTGGGGAGCTGGAGCCACAGCCCTGGTCTTCCTGTCCTTGTGCGTCATCTTCATCGTGTAAGCATTGACCTTGGGGGGAGGGCTGGCTGGAAACCGAGTCTCTGGGGCTGGAGTTGGAGGGAGCCTTATGGGTCATGAGCTTGAAGCAAGGACAAGAAGGATGTGAGGGATGCACAGTGACAATTTCATGAGCTCCCTTGTTTTGGGGGCTCCTAGTCTATGGCAAAGCTCTGGCCCCCATATCCAGGAGTGAGGTGTGTGTGTTCTCAGTATTGGCATCTGCGTGACTAGAAACCTCTGTCCCACCACGGTCACCCTTCCAGCCCCTTCCTAGGAAACGAATGGGTCACCCTGCCCACTGTGCCCTCAACTGCCCTGACTAAGGCTCTCTGGTCTGTCCTCTCAGCGTGAGGTCCCGCAGGAGGAAGGCGGCAAGAGCAGCAGCAGGCGTGGGGGACACAGGCGTGGAGGAAGCAGATGCTGTCAGGGTCCCAGGCTCTCGGGTAAGTGACATGGACATCTCCACATCCAGCTTGCAGCCTGGACACCTCCCACAGGATGGCCTCCAGGATTGCTTAGCTGGATATGGCCAAAGTTGCCTCCTCATCTCCTCCTCCTACCTAAAAGCTGCCACCCCCTGCAGCATTCCCCATGGTGCCCAAAACACGGAAGTCCATCCCTTCTGCCTCCTCCATGGCCAGACACTGCAAGAGTTACCTCCTGTATGTACTTGCTTTCTTCTCCTATGGCCAAAAGTTCACCATGTCTTGCCCATTTTC